TCATGGCTAATATATTTCTCAACCCCATTCTCCTGCCTTCTCCCTGTAACCCTTGATCCGCTTACTAATCAAGAACCTATCTATCTCAGTCTTAAATACACTCAATGACTTGGCCTCCACAGCCTTCTGCAGCAATGGGTTCTACAGATTTACCACCCATTGGCTGAAGAAATTCCTCCTCATCTCAGTTGTAAAGGGTTGATCCTTCACTCTGAGGCTGTGCCCTTGGATCCTATTCTCTTTGAAGTGTGGAAACATCTATCCAGGCCTCTTGGTATTTTCTAAGTCCCAATGACACACCACCCCCATCCTTCTAAACTCAATCGAGTACAGAACCCGAGCCCTCGGCCTCTCTTCATAGAACAAGCACTTCATCCATGGGATCATTCTTAAAAACCTCCTCTGGACACCCTCCAATGTCAGTACATTGTTCCTTAGATCCAAGGACCGATACTGCTCAAAATATTTTAAATGTGGTCTGACCAGAGCCTTATACAGATTTATGCACAAGGAGTGATGCCAAGTATCTGTCAGTTTCTCTGCATTTCTTTGTTCCCCTTAACTACTTCTCCAGCCTCATTTTCCATCGGTTCAATGTACACTCTAGTCTCTCCCTTACCTTTTACACATCTAGAAAAGCTCTTGAAATTTTTTTTTACATTACTAGCCACCTTACTGCATTATTTCATCTTCTCCCTATCACAGATTTTTTCGTCATTCTCCTCTGACTTTTAAACACTTCCCAATCACTTCACAATATCGTACGCTTTTTCTTTTGCTTTTATGCCATCCCTGACTTCCCTTGTCAGCCATGGTTGACTTGTAATGTATTTGTTCATTGTAATGTACATCCTTGGGATGTATTTCTGCTGTGTCTCCTGAATTATCCTCCAAAACCCCACCATTGCTTTTCCACCATCTTACCTTCTAGGATCCCCTTCCAATCAACTCTGGCCAGCTCCTCCCTCGTGTCTTTGTAGTTACCTTTACTCGACTATAATACAGTTACATCTGATTCCAGTTTCTTCTCCACAAACCACAGGGTGCATTCTATCATATTGTGGTCATTGCCCATCCCCTCAAGCTCCCTAATCAAGTCTGTTTCATTACACATCACCAAATCCAGAAATGCCTGTTCCCTAGTTGGCTCCACCACAAGCTACTCTAAAACAAATCTCATCGGCATTACACAAATTCCTTTTCTTGAGATCCACTACCAATCTGATTTTCCCAGTCCACCTGCATATTGAAGTCACCCTTGATTACTGTAATAGTGCCTTTCTTACATGTCTTTTCTATCTCCTAATTTATTTTCTTCCCCACATCATGACTACTGCTCAGTGGCAAGTACATAACTTTCGTTAGGGTCTTTCTTCCTTTGAGAGTGGAATTGAGGAAACCCACAGATTCTATGATTTCCAACTCTATCACTTCTTGCTATCGATTTAATTTCATTTCTTACTGATATGGCAACCCCGCCCCCTCAGCCCATCTGCCTATCCTTTCAATAGGAGGTGCATCTTTTGATATTTAGTTCCAAGCCCTGATCCCCTTGCAACCGCATCAGCCTGCAGAATGAAGAACGCACAGAGACAATTTTCAACTGAAGAAGTGACCCATATTAAGTTTGCTTTCTGTAATCCTCGAAAATTATCTTGAGACATTTTATAAAGTGATCCCAGATCGTAATCTTATGATCCCTTTAGCCAATTTTTGCCAATATCTACATTGCTTGACCACATTTTTGAATGCAAATATCCACAAAAATTTTCTCCATCCATCTAATATTAGGAGTCTTCCACAGTACAACAAGAAACCCATTAAGCCTTTGACCAACTGGCTATTCGCCACTTTTGAGCCAGACACCAAGTGTCAGCAGTAATTTCAAACATCAGGGACAGTTTCACAAAATAAACTTTGTCCAGTACTTTATCAAGTTTTTTTTTGGATTGACTAAGGCATCAAAAACAATGGCAAACAGAGCCTAAATTCATCTTCAGTCCTTCTCTGGGTACTAGTGACAAAACTAGTAGAACTCTCTCATAGACCAGTGACGTCCCAACCTGACAGTCACATTCATGGAATTATAACTTACACAGAACAGGCAACACCATCATCATCCTATTGTATCCCACCAATTGGACAGACCCAATAGAGTGGCAGCACAATGGCAAATAGGTGGGAGGGAGTTACCCTAGGAGCCCTCTACATTGACTTCAGTCCCCATGAAGTTCATGGCATCAGGTCAAACAACAAGGAAACTACCTGAGCTACCTGCTAATTACCACGTAGCCACGCCACCCCAAAACTCATGAATAAGTGCTCCTCCATGTTAAACAGCACCAGGAAGAAGTACTGAAGGTGGCAAGAGCACAGACTATACTGTGTGTAGGGGACTTCACTGCTCACCACTAACAGTGGCAGCACCACCACTGGGCAATCAGGTCATGTCTGAAGGGACATTGCTGTCAAGGGCGTGACCAGGCTGTCTCTTAATGGAGATGGTCATTTCCTGGCATTTGTGTGGCACAAATGCTACTTGCCACTTGTCAATTACATTTATGCTGTAAAATTTGCACGCAATGACCATCTTCAAAAGAGAGAGTCTAACCATCGTTTCTTTACTTCCAATGGCATCATCATCAACTTCCCGGGATTTGTCATTGACCAGAAACTGAAATAGATTAGTCATATAAGTACTGTGGCTTCAACAGCAGATCAAAGACAAGGAATCTTGCAGCACGGAACTCATCTCCTGACTCCCCAAAACCTGTCCTCTACCTATAAGAGGCAAGTCCAGTGACTGAAGTACTTTAAAATTACAACATAACCTGGAGCCTGTTAACATCACACCTGCTCTGGATAAACCACAATATGGGACAAGCGGGTCAGCTTTGAAATCAAACTAAGAAGCAAAATGATCATCTGAAAATCCTATAATTGGTGACTTAAGTGCAACTGTCTTGATATTGAATTTATCTGACAGATGTCATACTGTGCAAGATGTGATGTTTAACAATAAGCATTAAAGGCTACAGTTTCCTTCAACATTATTAATGGTTCACTGTTGTGGATTATAAACAATACATATTCAGCATTTTTATGTTCAATAACAGTGATAAAACCACCAGAAGTGATCACTGAAACTGTCACCTAATTAGGCATCAAAACCTGATTCAACACTTAATTTTCTTCAATTATTTATTCACCTTTTGAAAGATGATCAAGTCAGAACTTGTTATAAGGTGCTTAAAGAAACTAGTGGATAAAATGCATCTCTTTTTGCTGAAAGGTCTACTCAGCAATTATATTTTCCAAATTTGGCCATTTGCTTCCACACAATGATTTGCATGTGAATAAATATGGCTTTGCCAGTTACTCATTCATGGGATTTTAGGTTAAAAGAATGCTAACTGTTTATGGTGACTATGGCTGTAGTTCAAGGTGACTAGCTCAAAGTTATTTATTACCCTTGAGAAGGTAGTGGAAAGCTGCCTTCTCAAATATTTGCAGTCCATTTGGTGTGGGTTTAACTGTAGTGCTGTCATGAGAGTAGTTCCAGGATATTGATGCAACATCAGAGAAAGAGTAGTGATGTTGTTCAAAGTCAACAGGTGTGCAAATTGGAGGGAAACTTGCATGTGGTGATGTTCCATTTCATCTGCTGCCCTTGTTCTTTCTAGGTCAAGACTTCCCAAAATGGGGGTGCTTAGGATTCTCACATTCTCATTTTGTACAAATTCTGCTTTTTGTTTAACTTAAGATTGAGAATCTGAAATTCTCAAGAATCTAAGTGCTTAATATTCAAAATTTAAGTAGAAATCATTTTAAAAAATTGAATAGTAAAATTCCTCCGTTGCATGCAAGCGGTATTAAGGGGATAATTTATGCTATGGGCAACAATTAGTTCTTATTCAATAAAATCTACACATCAGGAAGTAACTAAAACATAATGGGACATTGAGTTTTGGAACAATTTAAAAACATCACAAATTATCACTGTGATACTGTTTACGTAGTCACCAATTTTGTTAATTAATGCAGCAACCTATTATCCTTTATCATATAACTGAATTATTTTTATTTAATTCAGCATGTCATATACATGTACCATTTGACTTCGTAAAGCTAGAAGGGAGAATCATTTGTCAATAGCATTTAAGGTAATTTAATTCTAATCAGGCTACTGAATTAACTTAAGACAAGAAAAATTCTGCTATTGGTTAAGTTATATCACATAATCTATAAGCAATGATGTGTAAATTGAGAATAATTTTGTTACTGGTAGCACACAAAAAATTAGAAATTAATAAACCGAGTAAACTGAGATTTACAGGGGTAATCAATGCAAAATGTTGTGTTTTTCAATGCATCCAGATAAGCTAAGACAACGGGTTAAATGTATCTACTTAAAATGTGTTGGTAAGAGCAATGATATCAAACCCCCATCTTAGATTTAACACAAATCTAAGATTTGTCGGCGACACGGTGGCACAGTGGTTAGCACTGCTGCCTCACAGCGCCAGGGACCTGGGTTCGACTCCAGCCTCGGGCGACTGTCTGTGTGGAGTTTGCACATTCTCCCCGTGTCTGCGTGGGTTTTCTCCAGGTGCTCCGGTTTCCTCCCACAGTCCAAAGATGTGCAAGTTAGGTGGATTGGCCATGCTAAATTGCCCGTAGTGTTCAGGGAGGTGATGGGTCATGGGGGGATGGATCTGGGTGGGATGCTCTGAGGTTCGGTGTGGACTTGTTGGGCCGAAGGGCCTGTTTCCACACTGTAGGAATTCTAATTCAAATATGTTTCTTTCTGTTGCTGTATCTGTTCGTATTTGTTTCTCATATAATCCAGTGTTGAACTATATTTCTATCCTTTTTATGTTTTGCTAGAATCCTCATGGTTCCATCAGATTTAGATTTCAGAACCCAAAGTAATGGATATTTCTACCCAGTAACTAAAAGTGGTTAAAATGACATCAATCAAGTAGAATTGAAATACTCACAACTGGCACTGATCTCCCTTGATTCCTTTTGTTGTACAGAAGCACTGTCCAGTTTGGGCATGGCAAGCATTTGCATGTCCATTGCATTTACAAGCTGTAATATACAATAAGTCAAAACAAAATAAATAGATACCTGGGAATTACGGACCTTAATATTTATCAATGCGTTCAAATATTATAATTTTCAAAGCTGAAATTTGAATGAATTAACTTGAAACAAGGTTAGATTCCATCACAATATAATTAATAACTTCCAGGAATAAGTTGATGTTTATCCAAAACAAATATGTTACATTTATTTAATGATGTAAGGGTTGGATCTGAACGTAGGAAGGTTAATTTTTGGATTACACCACTAATCCCTCACATAATGCTGTGCTAGTTACAGACAGGAGATCAATAATTGGACAATCATCACTGGGCTTCTTTTGTGCAGCTGTAATAGTTTGTTTCATAGCAGACATGTCAGAGGGCGTGCTAGTCTTTCAATTCTCCAAGGGCCCGAGTGTGATTTTGAATATTGGTGAGAGTTTGTTGAGTAACGGAGTTCTTAATCTATTGCTAAAATTCTAATTCTGTTTGCACTTCACCTTGAATATTTAATTGTAATTTACTGTGCAAATTCTAAATTTTATCCAAGCTCTCTCTAAATGAGACCGCCTGTAGTTAGTTAACCAAATGAAATCATTTTTTTCTGTAGCTGCATTAAACTAAGTCTTTAGTTCAAAAGCACACATATTAGGAGCATCTTAATCTGATTTAGAACCAAGAAGCATTCAAAAATACATGGGGACCCTCTGAAGGGTCACGGGGTGAAAGGTTATCAGAGTTTGGTAGAAATGTGGAGTAATTCAGTGATCTTACTGAATGATGCAGTCCTAATTTGTATGTTTGTTGATTGTTCAGGAGTGTGTCAGCCTCTCAAAACAGAGGGGCGTCTTCATAGACACTTGTTGCTAACAACCAAGGAGCCAAGAGGCATTTTATTCACATTCATATAACTTTGTGCCTGAACACCTCAGCTGCCTCTGTTGTACAATTAGTAATATTCAGAAAATCCATCTTACAGTCCCAACCATTCCAAGCTATTGAAAACAAACTGCTTGAACTTAAAGCTAGACTCACCTACTAAAGAAATTGAGACTGCTGTGTCCTCTGTTTTGCAGAGACATAGTTCACTCCCACTTCACCTGATGGTGCCTTACAACCTGAGGGTTTCTCAATCCACCAGATGCACTGCATGGTGTCCTTGGGCAGGGCAAACAGTGGAGGGGTCTGCCTCCTGATCGACATCTCTTGGTGCTCAGACGTGACGACCCTGTGAATTACTGCTCCCTGGACCCAGAATATCTGAAGATGAAGTGTCGTTCCTACTACCTGATGAGGGGGTTTACCTCTGCAATCATGATAGCAGTTTACATCCCACCCCACGTGGAAATGAACAGCACGCTTGATGAAATATACGCTGCTACATATAGCCTCAAGACAGAATATCCTGAGGCCTTGTTCATTGTTGCTGGGGGCTTCAATTTGGTCAACCTTACGTGTGCTACCAAAATACAACAAACACGTCTGCTGTCCCACCAGAGGCCCAAACAGCCTGGACCATTGCTACACAACCATCAAAGATGCTATTGTTCCATTCCCTGCCCACACTTTGGTATATCAGACCATAAGGCTGTGCTTCTTTCTCCCAGCTTGTCAGCAGAAACTGAAGTGAGAAGATCCGGTACAGAAAATCATACAACGCTGGTCTGAGGTAACGGCCGAGCTCCTACCTGACTGCCTGGAGTTGGTGGACAGGTCCATATTCAGGAACTCAGGGCAAGGACACCTAAGTCAGACTCCTATTTATTGACTTTAGCTCCACCTTCAACACCATAATTCCAAACAAATTCATCTCTAGACTCTGAGACCTAGGACTCTGTTGCCCCACGCTGCAGCTGGATCTTCAACTTCCTGACCCACAAGTAAGACCGCAAGTAAGGACAGGCAACAGCACCACCACCACAACAATACTTAACACCAAGGCCCCATAAGGCTGCTTATTCAGCCCCTTACTATACGCCTTAAACACACACATGATGGTGTGGCCAAATACAGCTCTAAATCCATTCACCAGTTTGCTGATGACACCAATATAGTGAGTCGGATCTCAAACAACGAGCAAGAGTACAGAGAAGAAATAGACAGCTTAATGGCATGATGTAAAGACAACAATCTCTCCCTCAGTCGGCAAAATGAAGGAGCTGGTCATTGACTTCTGACAGCAGGGTGGAGGAAATGTCCCTGTCTGTATCAAACGGTGCTGAGGTGGAAGTGGTTGAGAGCTTCAAGTTCCTAGGAGTAAATATCTCCTAGGTAAATAAATTACCTTGGAGTAAACTGGTCCAACCATGTCGATGTTACAGTCAAGAAAGCACACCAATGCCTCTACTTCCTCAGAAGGCTAAGGAAATTCAGCATGTCCACAATGACTATTACCAATTTTTAGAGATTCACCATAGAAAGCATCCTATCTGGATGCACCACATCTTGGTATGGTGACTGCTCTGCCCAAGACCGCAAGAAAGTACACAGAGTTGTGAATGCAGCTCAGTCCATCACGAAAACCAACTTTCCTTCCTCTGACTTCATCTACATTTCCAAATGATCAGGAAAGCAGCCAACATAATCAAAGACACCTCCTTCCCTGGTTATACTCTCTTCACCTTCTTCCATCAGGCAGAAGATACAAAGGTTTGAAA